ATCTATCTATCTATCTATCTATCTATCTATCTATCTATCTATCTATCTATCTATCTATCTATCTATCTATCTTGCAAATTGTCTTAAAAATGCGAGTTCCAGGTACACACACACCCAAACACACCCACACTCCTTTTTATTAGTTTATGGTATCAAATACAAAATACAAATAATACAAAAACAAATAAAAGGAAAAATAGGGGAGGGAAGAGGGGAGGGAAGAGGGAAGGGAAGAATGTAGAAAAGTATTTTTTTTCTTTTATCAAAGCATCAGTTTAGCTATCTCTGCTAACTCCATCAACTTTTGTGGCCATTCATCTTATCTGAAAAAAAAGCATAAGTGTTCAATCAACATCTCAGACTCAGCACGGCTACCCACTCACTATAGTGTACTATAGTGCCACTCAGAATTAATATTGCTTCTTATAAACCATTCAAACTCTATAACATAATGGTATGTTGAGAATTTACAGAATAGCATTAGCATTTAGACTTATACACCACTTCACAGTGCTTTACAACTCTCTCTAAGCAGTTGAGAGTCACCATATTGCCCCCAGCAATCTGGGTCCTCATTTTACAGACCTCAGAAGTATAGAAGGCTCAGTCAACCTTGAGCCTGGTGAGATTCAAATTGCCAAATTGCAGTCAGCCAGCAGTCAGCAATACTGCATTCTAGCCACTGTGGTTCTTAGAATATTTTAAAGAAATTGATAAATCATCAGATATCTTAAAAAATGTTGCTCAATCATGATCCTTGCTATTTTCATAATTAGAACTGTGTTTTTAAAAAAATGAAATGGTTATGCAAATGTTTGGATAATATAACTTGGTGAAAATATGCTTTGTCACATAAGGGGTACCTCAAGATTATTCCAACAAATTTCTACCTCTTCAGCAACTCCACAACAATTAAGGAAGTGGAATCGACACATGGAATTGACACCTATGCCAATTGAACAATTATTGTATACCAACCATATAATAATTGTTCGTTATGTACAAAACAGCATTCACTTTCAAGAAATTTTCATGTCAATTTGTGTTGCATCTATTTCCCATTTATTGTATACTGGCAAGTATTTTTTAAAAAGTTTGCTAAGTTAGCATATTACACCAAACAAGTAAATATGGTATTAAAAAGCTTAAAATACTATATTTTAGGTCTATGAGATACACCCCCCCCCCCAAAGTGGGTGGAAATGTCTGTGCATCTTATACAGCAAATGTTGCTGAAGCCCCTCCCACATGCCCCCACCTTTCAGTCTCTGCCTCCCAGCAATTTGCCTCCTTACAGCAAACAGCCTGGTCAGCTTCAGCACAGACTGATTTAGCACAAACAGCTGATTGGTGGTTGGATCTACCTCCCAGAATACCGCTGATCAGCTGTTCCAAGCTGCAGGGGTTGCCACTGCCCATCGCCACCATTGCTGCCCATCACTGCCATCACCTATTGCTGCCTCCGCACGCCCCATTTTTGGCCTCAGCATGTCCTGTTTTCTGCCTCCATGCACCCCATTTTCAGCATCTGGGTATCCCATTTCCTGGCCATTCCAGGCGGCAGGGATAGGTGGTGGTGGCAACGGGTGATGATGGTGGTGATGGGTGATGGCAAAACGTGCAGCCTGGAACAGCAGATATGTGGTATTCTGGGAGGCTGATCCAACCGCCAATTAGCTGCTCGTGCTAAATCAGCCTGTGTTGAAGCTGTTTGCTGCAAGGATGCAAATTGCTGGGAGGCAGATTTTTTTTCCTTGTTTTCCTTCCCAAAAGCTAGGTGCATCTTATAGTCCAGAGCGTCTTATAGTCCGAAAAATACAGAAATTTCTGTAAGATAAAATTATATGAATATGGCAGGCATTTTTAAAGTTTTTTTCTTTTATCTTACCTTTACAAAGTTTGCAACAACTTTTAGATAAGGATATTTGTTCAGACTCAGGACAGTTCAAAGCAGGACAATTCAACTCCATTGTACGTTGCATTTTGTAATTCTATTGAATCAAGATCATTATTTGTGTTGGCTATGAACTTTATTTTTTGCATAATTATATCATTCAATAAAAATACAAGTGCATAATTAATATCCAGTTGTATTCACATAAATAATCTGGGTAGAAACTATTTGGAATCTCTTTTGTTTATTTGTGTGTTTGTGTGATTTTGACAGAAGTGGAAAATACTGAAGGGTGCTATGAGTTTTAGTATATCTACTTATCCTAAGTATACAAGCAATATGCCTAGCTAACTGAAAGAGAAATGGGGTGCCTTGGTTATTTCAGGGTTCTTTTTAAAATTCAACTAGTTACACTTTGTATCTCTATAAAACCACATTTTAATTTGGCTGCCCGAGGCATCTGCTCCAAAATTAAAAATTGGAAGCCCCAGCTATTTATTAGCAAATTTTTCTTTCCTGTGAACATTTGTCACAAATAAAGGGATCTTGCTGAGTTGTAAAGAAAGGAATATTTGTCTCTATATCCAAACTCTGAGTTGATTGTAACTGGTAATTTTAATGCAAGAATGGATTCTTATGATAAGCCAGTTTTTCATTACATTTTAACTTTTAAGCTTTAAGCTTATTTTACAATTGCTGTTGTATCAAGAATAGGAGGCAGAGTTTGGTCTAATTGATTATTAAAAATTATCCACAAATCTTAAATGACTCAGTGCCTGGCAGTCCAGAGGGGGGTGGTGCCTTACCTTCTACTGACAATGGGCACAAGCAAAATAAATTAGATCTCCTACTTCAGTTGCTCAGCATAAATGCATTCATTCACCAATAGCTTACTACTAGTATTAGGTTAATTGGACATTATAGACCATTATATATAAGTTTAGGCACCCTCAAATTGAATTGTAGAATAAACACACAAATGTTCTATTTTAGTTTCTCAATATGTCAAAAATATCTGAACTTAAGCTTTAATTGGCATGAAAAGTGCCCATGTAAATTTAACTTATACCAGCAAATGATAAATATTATACAGGAGTTGTTAAGGTCTACAGTAATGCCTCATCTGTTCAGAACTCTATTCCAAAACTTTCCTAATTCTGTTTTGATAAAGAATTATGATTTTTTAAAATGAATTATGCTACTTAAGCTTTACCCAAATATTTTTGCAGAATCTCTTTAATAGCTGTTGCTCAGTGAACAGGATTGATAACTGTACTGTTAGTTGAGTGTATAACTGAGGTCATTAAAAAGAATTGAGAAAGATAAATTATAGATGACAAGCAATATATTAAGATAATACTGTATTATATATATTGAAGCAGAATCTCTGTTAACTCTATTATTGTCATGCATAAACTTCAGAGGTGGGATTCAATTTTTTTTACTACCAGTTATGTGGGCGTGGCTTTGTGGGTATGGCTTTGTGGTCATGTAACTGGGTGGGCGTGGCTTGATGAGCATAGCTTGGTGGTCATGTGATTGTGTGGGCATGGCCAACTTGACATCACTCACGTTGAGGGGTGCCTTGCCTTGCCTCTGTCCTGTGTATGCTTGCTACTTCTGCTTGTCTTCTTGCAAGCAGAGATCTTCTCTGCTTCTCTCGGGACCCTGGTGTGGTCACCATGCATCGCTGTCACACCACTCCCTCTCGCTTCCCCGAGCACAGAGCTGTGGCTGTGTGCTTCTTCACCTAGCTGGCCACTGACAAAGAGCTGTACAGCTGAGAGCCGCTCAATGCCCCATGCAGCATTGCCCAGCTGCTGGTGGGGACAGAGCTGCCAGTCCAGCTTGGGCTTGGGCTTCAGCTGGCTGGCTGGAGCAGTACTGCAGCTGAAAGGGAAGGAGCCAACATTGGTGATTCATTGGCAAGCACAACTTTAGTCAGGCCATTGAAGCCACCACTGCAGGGTCAGGCACCTGGCGCAATTTTTCTCTTCCTCCTCTTGTTGGCCTTCGTGACTTTTGTGAAAGGCTTTTTGATACCCTTCCACAGCTCCTTTTCAATATCACAAACTTTCAGGATGATGGGTCCTGGCACTGTATACTCCACTGCCTTGACCTGCCGATTCATAGATTCCAAAGTGAGGATCTTCTCTCATGGCACCTTCTCTTTCAGCTGCAGTGTGGGGGCCTCAACCAGCACTGTTCCAACCAGCCAACCCAAGCCTAAGCTGGGCTGGCAGCTCCATCCCCACTGGCAGCTGGGCAATGCTGCATGGAGCATTGAGTGGCTATCAGCCACATGGTTCTTTGCCGGTGGCTAGCCGGTGGTCTTGGCTCAGAGCCTGCTGCCACTTGAGTGGGGGAAGTGGTGAGGAAAATGGCAAGACTCAGGGAGTAGGTCAGGGGGAGCTGGCTGACTGAGGAGGGGGATCATGCTGCTCAGAAGCTGCCCCCACTGTTGCCAAAAGTTTGGGTGCCTTGGCTGAAGTGCGGATTGCTCCCTCCCTCCCTCCCTCCCTCCCTCCCCCTCTCTCTCTTTCTCTCTCTCTCACACACACACATACACACACACACACAAACAAACAAAGGTTGGAGAGCTGTCTTGCTCTCTCTCTCTCCAAGTGCTCCATGTCCACACAGACAGCCCATTTAAGGAAAGGCTACACACTACTGGGCGTGTGTGTGTGTGTGGCTGCAGAAGGAGGTGTAGCATGATGGGGTTGTTTTGTTCGCCACCAACAGAGCCACCAACTACAATGTAGAAACAGGAAATGGAGGAGCAGGGAGAAGAGAGGGAAAATGGTCTCCTCACCTCCCACCAACCACACCATTGCCTGAATGAAGTGCTATGCCAGAGTTTTCCCCACCACCACTGCCCAGATGCATTTGCTTCTCCCAAATTATGAACCCAGATATAAAACTGAAAAAAAAATCCTTTCGATAGTATGAGTAATGATACTCATACATTAAATTGTATCAGATATAATACAGCATTAAAAACTGCAACTAACGTAAAAAGTCAAGAGGATTGAGTGGGGGGTGGGGAATAGTATATTCTTCAGAATGCTGCCAGGAAAAAATGGAATATATATGCAGTATATATTCATATTCAGTTATAGCAGCATACTAAGGAGCGCAACTAATTTCTCAACTTAAATAAATAAATAAATGGAGACACTCCCAAAATTGTAGAAGCAGCATATTACATAAAACATGCAATAAAATTATGAAGGGTTTAAAAGCAATAATAAGTGGGAAAATGACTTGGGATGACATAGTGAACTTCAGATATCCTAGGAAGTGTTTTATGATCCACATTAACCTTATTATGAATAAACATGCAATTTTTAAGAAGGATCTTCCACTTAAAATGATATGGAAAAATGTATATCAACTTGAAAAATCCATCATTGTCACTTTTATAGCATCTTCTAAAGTTTATTTATAAAGTTGGAACAAATTACAGGAGAAAGAAATTAAAAGTAATCTTACCTTGCATTCAAAGAGAATACAGACCTCTGAGTCTAAATATACTGATTGTTTTTCTCCTTCAAAATAGGTTTTGCCTTCAAACACACAGATTGCTATAAAGTTAAAAAGCAGAACAATACTTGGTACTTGGATTCTGTATAACTACGGTATATGATTAGACATCATTTAAATATCACTTAGAAATATAGCAATTCTTACTTAGCAGCTAAAATTCAGTGTACAATATTGCATGTGTATGTGATGAAATGATTATAGGATAATTCTGTTTTCCTCATGTTGTCAAGCAAAAGAGACAGAAAGGGAAGCAGTAATTAAAATTTACTTAAATAGTAAACAAATACTTACTTTTACAATTTACTGTATTTTTTGGAGTATAAGACGTACCAGAGTATGACACACCAAGATTTTGAAGAGGTAATTTTTTTTTAAAAAAAAATGCCCTCCCCGGCCCTTAGGAGCACTCTGCAGGCCTCCCAAACCCTCTACACATCCCATTTTTGTGAAAAATGGTGCCTGAAGAGAGTTTGGGAGGCCTGCAAAGTGCTTCTGGGGGCCGGGGAGGGCAAAAATGCAATATGTTGGGGCTTGATCTTCTTAAAGAGTAAGGCTTTTATCGATCTCAAATCCACTTTTCTCTACCCCTCCCACAGCAGGGCAGGACTAAACACCTCTCTCTGTATTTTTCCCCCTTCCCTCGGACTGGCGTTGATGTGGAGCTGCTTGGCCCAAGGAATGGCCGTTGGCTTGCTTCTTCTCTTCAGTAAGGAGGGAAAGACACATGGGGGCTGCTGAATGGCCATTGCTGTGCTCGACTGGGAACGGCCCATTGGATGAGGAGGGGTGGAGATCCCTTCCATTTGGATTAATCGTTCCTCATGGCAGTGCCTGAGCAGCAAAAGGGAAGCATAAAGAAAATGACCCCGCAAGGCTGCCTCCTTGAACAACCAGGCTTGCTCCCAGCCCTCTTCGCAACCCCACTTCCTTAGTCTTGGCATCGTCAGGATTTTGGCTAGTAGAAGAAGGGCGGGATGGAAAGGAAACTTCAGAATGTGGGAGCGCTGGGATGGAAGTCTCCCTGGAGCCTGGCACCTGCCGCATTCCAAAGTTTCCTTTCCATCCTGCGCTTCTTTCACTAGCCAAAATCCCAATGATACCAATAGCTTTTTCTGGAGAAGAAGTAGAGATCTAGCATCCTGAGAAAAGACTTCGTGCAGAGGAGATTGGTCCTCTTCCATCCACCCCTCTACCCAAATCTGCCCAGATCTGTCATGCAGCAATGAAATACGGTAGCTGGGGGCAATAGCAGCAGTAGCAATAAGCACTGCATGACAGATCCGGGGGATTGGGGGAATTGCAGCGCCTGCTTCACCAGCCCCTTCTTGGGTGGTTCCGGGTGGCAGAGAACGCAATAACAGTGTTTTCAGGTGGCAGCACAGTGATCTCGGCTGCCTGGAACCGTCTGAGAAGGGACAGGTGAAGCGGGCACTATGCGAGAGGTGGAAGGCAAGGTAGCTTGCTGCTCGGCCTTCCCCTTCTCCAGACAACCCAGTCAGAGGACAGTCCACCCACTGCCTGAAATGCTCTTTTTCCTCCATGATTGCAAAAATGGGGCTTGCATTCCTCCTTGCCAGATCCATCTCCCGGGCCAGGAGCAGAAGCCAACTGCCCTCTGACTGGGTTGTGCGGAGAAGTTGGAGTCTAAGCGGTGAGACACCTTGTCTTATGCCTCACCTCCTGTGCAGTGACCGTTCACCTCCCCCTTCTCCAGACAACCCAAGTGGTTACATTCAGAGTATAAGATGCACACAGATTTTCACCCTCTTTTTTTGGGGGGGGGGGAAATGTGTGTGTTATACTCTGAAAAATAAACAAGAACCATTTAAACAAGAACCTGTTAAACCTGAATATATAAGAACATTGTTATTGGTATCTTAATGAAAACGCAGGCAATACATGCTTCATTTCATTTCAAAGTTTGCAAAACATTTTTGAAATATAAATATAAATAGTATTATGTCTACAATGTGTGTGTGTGTGTGTGTGTGTGTGTGTATGTGTATGTGTATGTGTATGTGTATGTGTATGTGTATGTATATGTATGTGTATGTATGTATGTATGTATGTATGTATATGTATATGTATGTATGTATATGTATATGTATATGTATGTATGTATATATATATG